GGCTCCCGTCGCTTCTCTATCGGTAATGACACAAGAAACCCAAGCGATGCAATGTACACGGGCCGTGTGGTGCGATGGTTCAGCCCGTCTGTTTTGTTAGGCTGTTGCTTGTTACGCTCTTGGCAAACATGCGGGTTTTGCAATGGGCCAAGCTAGTCTTGGAGTGAATTGCAGAAATGCTGTGTCAGCGTTTTCCTCTTTACTCGAGGCAGCCTGGAGCTCACATTGTTGCAAGGGCAATGCAGAGGTTTTTTCCCCCTCCACGTTTAATTTATAGATGGTACTACAGCACCTCATGTGCTAGCAGAGACATTATCAAATGCTTGATTGGTGGACTGGTGCTGTTTTGTGTAGTGGTACAACCAGAGCGTGACTGTGCCTTACATGCTGGCTTTTAGCCCAGCTTCCCTCAATACTTGCCTGTGTTAGCAGTTTCACACTTTCTGTAATTTAAAGCGGTTCCATACATAAGTGTCTTTATACATGAGGTAGAAGCTGGTGTATGCTGTGTGGTTTACTCCCACTAAGGTAACTAAGGTAACCGTAAGTAGGCAGAGCAATAAATTACAGCAGAATTAGAAAGGAGCTTACATGGAGGATATTTCAAGCATATAGCAAGTTTCAGATGAAAATAAGGGTAAAGAAACACGGATGAAATTGCTAACAGCGGGTTCTGTGATTTCTATTTTAATGTTGTATGGAAAGGTTTATTAAAGCAGGCTTTGTGTTGTTTAAGTTGCTCTATGTTTTGTGTTAATGTGCTTTACAAATTCACATGCAGATTTTGATGTGAATACTGAAGCATGGACGTCCAAAACTCCTGCAGAAGGTAAAGGTGAGAATTATTTGTAACGGAGGCAGTGAAACGAGGTTAGTCTTGTACTCACTGTGTGGTTCAGATTTCAGTAACAATCAATATGTGGAATGATTAAATTTATAATGGGGCAAAATGTGAAGGCTCTAATTAAAGCAGGCTGAATCTCTGTTGCATGTTCTTACTAATCATGAGCTTGAGGAAGGAGAAGAAAGGTGAAACTGTAGATGAAATGATTAGATGCTTGCGTTGTTTCTATATATATGCAGCTTTAATCCAGTGTCATGATAGTATTATGGACTGGCTAATGATGATAGAATGCAATAAGTGGTGATCTTGCTAACTGATCTGTAAATGTTATGATAAACTGACCTCACTAAGAAAAAAACTTCCTTTGGATCCTTTTCCATGTGTGAACATGGGGAGACGCTTTAGCAAGAGTTACTTGCTGCAAATAGAGCCAGCTTTAAGCCACTGAAGTCATGTTGGTGTTACCCTACTGTGAGGAAAGGATCTAATCCAAGGACTCTAAATAAACTGGAGTTGTTAAATACCTTATGTGATGAAAGGAGAAAGAAGCAACTTGAACAGTGTTGAACACGCTGAGGGATTAAAGTACATAGGAGCTCCAGTAGTTCAAGATACTTGAGAGTCCTAAATTTAGCTTGAAGAGGCATCATCTGTTTTGGCCAAGGTTGCCACTGTTTACTAGTCATATGTAATTTCCTACTTGTTCTCTTTTGTGTTCGCGCAGACTGAAGAGTTGAATCCTGCTTTCCTAACCCTCACACCTATGGGAAAACTGACTGAAACAGGCTCTCCAAATTATAAGTTCATTTTAGGTGATCTTGTCATCTGGTCTCTCTCCTTCCCTAACATGCTGACGTTCCATAGGAGGGGAAGTGGTACTGTCAGGTTCCTCAGCTCTTGGGGCTGTTGGAAAGGCACCTGGGCATAAAAAATTTCAAGTTCTGGCATTTAAGTTGTCCCTGTGTATGACAAAGTGACACAGGATGCACTCCAAGACTGAGGTGACACAGACCCCAAGAGAGGCATTCCAGATTATTAGAGAGGTGCTGGGAACTCCTCTCCCCATTGCAGTTTCCTTGGGTTCTCCTCAACCAAGGTGTCCTGAACCCTGCTGTATTAATGATTCACTGATTCCAAATTAATCCAGTGATCCAGGAACCTCTATTTGAGAGGCCCAGGTGGACTGGTCCTGGCTCCTGCAAAACTGACACCCCAGCTCTCCACAAACAGCAATCTCTGCCATCTCAAAACTGAGTCAAAAAATTCAAAGATTCACTTCTAAGAATTGAAACTGAACTTTATAATAAATTGGCTAATCCATCCAGGCAGATTGTTAGTCCATTTGTACTTAACATAATAAACCCTTGTTGAATACATACAACAAAAACCATTGAGCAACATCAGAAAAATGACTTGCCGTGATTTTGTACCCTGACTATTAAGATGATTTTTGGACCCCAGTGTTAAAATTAGCAGTATATTGAACGCAATCATGAAGAACAAATACTCCCAAAGGATGTGGAAAACATCTATTGAAGAATGTGACTGGTTTGATGTTTTCTGCTAAACACAGCAAAACAATCTGATCCAACATATACATATTGATTCTGTGTGCAATTTGAAATTATTGAACACCTTAATGAAAGCATTCAGATCAGGCTCTCTAAAACAATATTTAAGGCTCAGTTATCATCTCTCTCTCTCCTCCAAGCTCATTTTCTCAGCCTGCCAGGCCAAGTGAAGATGCTTTATTGCTTCAAGGCACAAGAGATTGTTTAACAGTGTTAGGAATACGACTGGCATAATAGTCATAATTTCTCAAAGCAGCAAGGACCCCAGCAGAATTCATGTGTTTCACTTCCTTGTTATACTGAAATGAATTTCCATGGATATCAGTTATCTTGCCTAGAAAAAAAAAAAGAAAAAATAATTCCAAAAATATTCCATCAAACAAGAGTTGGAGAGAGAGAATCTATTTTATCAGTACAAGTGGTACAACTAAAAACCCAGTCTTTGGTGTACACGTGCCTGTCTTCAGATGTGAAGTATCTTTGCTCCCAGTTTCAGTGCAACAGTTTTTTACTGACTGAAATCAAATAACTAATGGTTTTATTTTCTTTCATTAATACTTACATTCCTTGTGTTTCAGGAAAAGGAAAAAAATAACACTTCTCTCTTATGGATTAACTAAATTGCTTCCTGAATAGTTTTTACATTGGCCATTGACAAGAAAGAAATAAATATCCTGAGTTCAAGTAAAAGCCAGGGTAAGCCTATACAACAAACTCTAACATAATATAGAAATATGCCAGCTGGTTTTAAATGAGTTTCTAGAAACCACTTACCAAGACCAACACAGATCTTTATGCAAGCTAATTTAACCACGACATCCCTACATAACAAGGAGGCTAAATACAGCCCTGTGCTGCCCCAGATTGATTGGGTTTTTAGTGCCTGAGCTAACCTGTTTAAAGCTATCCCAGTTACCAACACTAGAGACTGCAGATAATGTCATTATAAAGCCTCTTATCATTGCTTGACAATTTAGGAGATCAAACCTCACAATTTTAGCATATGGTGGTTAAAGATTTATCAGCATGAACAGCAGAAAAAGTATAATGCTTATACTCAAATTATTGTCAGTGAGTCTTTTTATAACTCCTCTAACCTCTTCCTCCCTAGAAAGGTGAAGTGGCTTATGTTGGCTGGAGACCACTAATTTTGCTGAATTACATAGAATCATAGAATAGTTAGGGTTGGAAAGGATCTTAAGATCATCTAGTTCCAACCCCCTGCCATGGATAGGGATGCATCACACTGGAGCATGGTGCCCAAGGCTCTGTCCAACCTGGCCTTGAACACTACCAGGGATGGAGCATTCACCACTTCTCTGGGCAACCTGTTCCAGCACCTCAGCACCCTCACAGTAAAGGGCTTCTCCCTTATATCTAACCTAAATCTCCCCTGTTGAAGTTTAAACCCATTACCCCTTGTCCTATCACTACAGTCCCTCATGAATGACTTTTTGGACTTTGTGCATCCAATGAACAACTGCATTATTTGGCCTCGTTTTGTTGTTTTGAAGAATTCTAAGTCCACATAATGTTACTAATACTAAACTACTATATCCACTTAGGACAGTGTGATTATCCTGTGAAATAGTAGCCAAGAAAAAGAAAGCCATTTATTTTGGGCTATCCCTTTGAGTTACTGTTGATTTCAGAGGGCCTTCTCCCACCCCCCCACCCCATGAAAAGTATAAGTAACTTTAAATTAAATCTCACTTTTCTTGGGATTTTGAATGATATTAACTTACCTCCCACAGCATGTAGAATAGCTTCTGGTGCACATGTATCCCATTTCTTGCACCCAGGACTGGCAAATATATAAGCAGATGCCTTGCCTTCTATAAGCTGAATGATCTGTTAAGAAAGGAGAATGGCAATCACTGCAAAGGATCTAGGCATTTAGAAATGGGTAAGCACCAGGCAACAGGGATTAGATCAGTTCCTTTCCAATATTACAAGAAATTATATTAAGATTTATAAAGCTATAGTGTATTACCATTCTGAGTGATGTATTTTGGATTGTTATGAATAGAGTCTATTGGATGACAATCTGATCTTAGTTTCAGAAACAAGAATTCCCAACTTGTGGAAGTACTAAATAAATAAATGTGAAAGTTATCTCCATGTTGTCTTGGTGACAATTTGGGCCTTGCACAAGTTGGTGAGAAGAGATTGGAGCATCTGTTTTTGACAGCCATGACAAAACTAAGCTTTAAAAACTGTAGCAAAAGGGTATTCCCTGTATGCAGAGAGGTTTTGCAAAGAAACATCCCTCTGTGCTTCTATGTTTATCCTTTCATATAAGCTGCTTGATATTTGGAACCAAAACTGTATTAACATGAACAGGAGGAAAAATAGATGTAACTGAATTCCCATTTAGTCATTCTGGTCTTACAACTTCTTATTTTCTCCCCTAGAAACAAAATACAGGGCAAGATGGACCTGAGCTATGACCAGCACGGCCTCTGTTACCAGTATCCTGTACCAAATTCTCTCTACCTCACAGCAGACTGAATGCTAGGAAGAGTTGTGCTGGGAAAGGAGGAGGAAGTCTCCTCTACAATCATGCAAGTAAGTGATTTCTTTAAATATTCTTTCTCTTTCCCAAAGATACTACCTCCCAGTAAAGAAAAAAGATTTGGACTTTTCATACCTTGTTTCCTGCTCCTCCAACTCTGATGACACTGTCTGGATTCAGAGCACTGATGCATTCATTTACCAGGGCACTGCTGTGAGAGCGGGTGGTAATGATGATGTGTTTCCCAGCAGGTGCTTCTGTGAGCTGAATTCCAAAGGCACCTATGCCCAGGACTCCCCAAATTGTCCTGCCCAGCACAGCATCAGGTCCTGCCTACAAAGAAGGTACATAGGTCCAGGTGATGGTTAATCCCGGTGATCAGCATTTAAATCACAAATGGAAGGAGTACTTAGAGATGGCTTTGCATATCAGGGAGTACAATACTAATACTAGGTTATACATTTAAACTACTCTAGAGCTCAGAGTGAGAAATTGCCTCTAAGGCAATGACATTGTTTACCCTTTTCTTATCTGTGACATTGTGGTGGTGCATTACATCCTGCCTCCAATGACTGATGTTAATATTTGAATATTTCTGTACTTCAGGCACAACCTGTAACTGAAAATATCATATCATTTTAAATGTTTTGTCATACGTATCACACAGAACATACAGAATCAGCTGATGATATGCATTACATCAGCTCAAGAGCTTGTCCTTTAAAATCTAGTAAGCTTAATCGATCAGGCTGCACCAGGAGCTTTTTTCCCCCATCACAGATAATACTGATACAATCTCAAAACATGTTTAAATGCTTGTAGGTTGGCCATCCTGGACTTATTCCTGAAACCTGGCCTGATGTACTCTAACCCAGCTGTCAGTGACAGGTACACTTGGTTTACTACTTGTTTTACTACAGGGCTGCAGATTTATGGCAGTTACCACAAATCTACTAGAGAGTTTATAGGAAACTATGGGACTATAGTTTTAGGACTGCAAAACCACTGATCTGTACTTGTTTTACCGCAGGTACTCTGTATTTACTGTAGTAACATGTACAGTATGTATTTAATATATAGTGTATTACACAAGACTCAGGATTCAGTATGGCTGTTAGTAGATCCCTGAGATTCAGTTCCTGGAAACAAACATTCAAAACTGTATATATTTAATAAAGACACCACCACCGTATAATCCAACATTAAGTCCACTATGTGCTGCTTTTTAGTTGAAAGTGTGCTAATTAGAAATGGCTCAGAAGAGACAGTCAGAAATCATCTAATGCTTTTAAACAGATCAATGCATTTAATACCTCATAGTTGTAATATGGCTGGTTAATAACTCCTGCTATTGCTTTGCCTCCATAAGCAATTCCAATAAGAATTGTTACGTGGTCAAGGAGACCTGTACAGAAATCATGAATGTAGTTAATGCCTGAAAAAGAGGAAGTATATATATTTAACAAGAGCCCCTTCAATAGATATCCACATTGATATGCAAGGTGTTGTGTTAAGAATGCAAATACTAATCAGGATTTCAGGTGTAATAGGTTGGTTGCTAACATATTTTTAGTCATTAGGCATGAGGTCTGCAAAAAAAAATGCCCCAGATAGAATTCTTTTAATAGAACTTTGTTATAATTAACACAAAATGAGGAAGTAGTTTAAAGATACAACTAAATGGAAGTATATGATGACATTCTTCTATAATTGTGGTGTGATTTCTTTAGTGGTATTCAAAACTAGCAATTCGTTGACAGTTGTACATCTCTTCCTGAAAAGGGGAAAAAAATCTGCCTAAAAGATTTCACCTTAATCAAGTAAAAGATGCAACAAGAGGTTTCAGCGTATTGTTTCTGGAGGTTTTCTTTTGTTTTCTTCATTTTAGGGTCTGTAAGGACACAAATTAGGCTTTGCTGGAAACAGTTTCAGAAGAATTTCAATTTGCAGGAAGATGTTTTATTTTTAAAGAGCTACAAATACAGTTCTGGTATTTGGGTTGTTTGAAGAGGAGGATGTAAATATAATTGAGCACATTCCTGTGTGATTTAGTCCCTCAACTGAAAGTATATGCAAAAATTGTGTGCTTGACTTAAGGCTTAAGACAACCTGCCAGCAATCAAAGGCAGCCCTTTGCTCCCTGAAACAACAAAAACTGGTGGGCACTCAGTAGCCCATCAGGAATATTCAATACTGGTTAGAACTGAATGGAATGATGAAAAAAATCCATAGAACTCAAAGTAAAGAAATAACATCAGCCTTATGAAACAATATTGTGCATAACTTCTATCATAAAACTGTGTACATGCTACTTTATCACATTCCTTTTTTGGTTTGAATCAACAGAATTAAAGAAGCCAACCTTCAGTGTACTCCTTGGTTCCATCCAAGGGATCAACCCATATTACAAGCTTTAAAAATACAAAAGTAAGAAAAATTAACAAATACAAATGATGGAAGTTATCATGCAAAGTATATATTTTACTATAGTGCTTTTACTTCGTTACAGCAGTAAATATAGAAAAAACTCTTTACACAGAAAAGCTTAAAAACTGACTGGAACTTCTCAGCAAATACCTTTATAGAGGTATGAAGGCTTAAACTTTATGTGGAAATGACATTATTATGTCTAAAGTAGATACATCAATTTGAATCACAAGTTGCAAGAAGCAAATGTCCATTTCCCATTATTGCACATAAGGAATATGCAGCATTTCGAGCTCTGGAGGTGTGATTCTCATGACCATATTTCAGTTTTAAAACCAAAAAGAAGAACTTGAAACACTGAAATAACCTTTTTTCTTAATACATTCTTAGCTAAAATCAATTAGTAATATAGATGTAGTGTAAAATATGAAGATGTGTATAGCATTAGCACATTACCTCTTCCTCTTTAATTCCTGCGTACTGAGAAGGACAAGTTTTCTTCAGGATTTCTTCACAGTGACCATCTTCAATTAGTTCCTCAGTTACCTCATCACTGGGCAGTTCCTAACAAAAGGATTCTCAGAATTATCAGCAGAAGATGTTGGGCTTACCTCAGTTTGCCTTAGAACTGTGGATTTACTTGTGGCTTGCTTGACAAAGCTAATGCAATGGAAAGGTGAAATGGAATGGAAATATTTTTAATAGGTTATTTCCTAACACCTGCCAAACAGATCGCACTGCAAGTTACTAAACTGTTAGTATGAAATAAACTAGGTACTTACTTCTTCTCCTATGATTGTCACCTTGGGAAACTTCTGTGCCAGGGAAGCACAAACGCTCATTTGTACCAGTCGGTCAGCTTTGGTCTGCAAGTCATTGGCTCCGGTCTGTCAAGGGATGGATGGGAATTTGTGTGTTTCAAAGCAACAACAGCAAAAAACTCAGCACTACAATGGCTTGTGTGTCATGTTGAGTATCTACCTTGTAATGAAAAAGAAGTCTAATTTGATAAATCATCAACCTAGTAAGTGATCCTGAGAGAGGCAGGGTAAAAACTGAAACAGGCAGTTTCTCTGTACACCCCGAAGCTAAGATAGACTGTTGTGATATCAGAACAATATTTATATGCTGTATTCTTCTCATGTAGTGGTACAATCATACTGAATATGTATTTGTGCAGATACTGTGCTATGTGCAGCATAAATTAATATAGGTATGATCACAAATAAGAGGAAGATCAAAAATGACATGCTATCCCAAGCTTGTGTTTTATGAAGGGAATCAGGACAAAATTGAGATGTTTTCTTTAAGTGTCTGAATATTCTTTAGAAATACCTGTCAAGAGACACTTCTCCAGTGCTCTTTTAATCCTTTAATAAGGAATATTTCTTGTATCAGAGAGATGAGGACTGTATTTCCCTCCCTAGTTGTTGATCTTTGAAAACACCACTTTGACTTGTATCTAAATCAGCATTAGTAAGAGAAATTTAATTGGAACAAAGTAAAAGTAATACCTTCTCCACTATGCCCAGATCTCCTGTAGCCATTACATTTCTAACAATTGCTGCAGCTTTTTCTGCTGCAGAATATGCAGAGGCGACCACACGCATGAGCAGAGCTGGAGAAGCCATGCTGAAAGCTGAAAGGAAACAAAAAGCAAACTTAGAATCATAAAATGGGTTTGGGTTGGAAAGGACCTGAAGACCATTTAGTTCCAACCCCCTGCCATGGGCAGGGACACCTCACGCTAAACTATGTCGCCCAAGGCTCTGTCCAGCCTGGCCTTGAACACTGCCAGGGATGGAGGATTTACCACTTCTTGTATGTTTCTCTCGAAGAGAAGACAAGAAGGAAAGTATTTTACTTAACATTCCAAATGGATACAGTTAAATCTGAGTAGGAGGGGGTATGTGGGTTACTTCCAGCGAGTAGTAATGAAGTGAGCTTTGATGTTTTAAAAAATACATTAAATATGTATAAAACTACTTCAGACAAGTTTTCAAATACCCATGCTTTGTCTGATAGAGAACCTAGTTCTCCTCGCTAAAATAAAATCTGACATTAAACAAGAAAAGGAGAAGAAATTCTTTATCATAAATGTTAGGAAAAGTGTAGTCTACTACTAGTCTATCTTTATTTGTTGAAATGTAAAACAGGCTTTTGTAGATGGCCTAATTGTGGGCACAGAGTAGGTTAATGATAAACAGATAATGCAAACTTGCACGTGGAAGTCTGTTCATCTAAAGTTTACCATCTTTTCTGTGTTTCTTTAACTTCTCTTGTTTTCTCTAAGGAAATCTATTGCATCCTCTTCCCCTCAGCACTGCACGTCCTGTCATTCTTCCCACTGTAGTCTTCTGCATCTGTTCCCCAGCACACATCAGTACAATTCACTGTGCCTTCTGTTCCCAAATAGAGTAACTATCACTTTTGCGAAAGGCTGACAATTATCCATTCCTCCCAGCTTTTCTCTACCTCGGGAAAAAGAAGTATGGATCACCAGGCTGTAGTCTTTCAAATTCAGAGCTAATTGCTTTTTATGTTTTCCTGACTGATCTTTCTGCCTGCGTAGATTATACGCTTTTTGGGTTGGGCTCACGTGTGCAACGTACTTCCAATTTAACACTTGAGCACAGAGCTAGACAAGAATACGGAGGGAGTCATTAATCACCACATAGAAGACTGTATTAGGCTTCCCTCACAACCAATATTTGCAGCAATTACAGCAAGTATTGCATAAGTTGCACTAGTAGGTCATTAGACAATATCCTTCCTTTCTTGCTTGAGAAATCTACTCAGTAAAGTGTAATATAATGAGGTGAAAAGGCTAGCTACTGTAGATGACACTGATAAGACCTCAAGTTCACATCTTTACAGCTTACAGCAAACAGCCATGTTAGAGGTATCAAAATCCCCAATTTAGCTGGTTTAAGAACTTTTCCAGCACTTCAGAAACACTGTATGGGTATCTCTAAAGTCAGAAGACCTCTGAACTAAAAGAGTAGGGTTAGTGTATAAGCACATTCAAAAAGCACAGTTGCTACTGTTTTTTTATTACCTACTGCTCAAGGATGGGAGCAAAGTGCTCTGGAGTCCTGTAAAGTAGCCAAAGTACACTTGGGCTATCCTCGACTGGTAACAATGGTTACAGAGGAGATTTCTGAAATGTTACCTGTGGCAAAAAGCAGCCCTCAAACAATTGAAAGTTGTAGAGCAAATACGTGCCATAACACATGGGAAGACAGATACTATTTTAAGTATATACTATCATGTGTAACAAGTTGAAGGAAACTTAAATGTAGTTCATTCCATACTGAAAATATCTGGAATATGAGATCTTCTGAGAGAGAGTAAAAAAGTTAGCATATTAGATGAGAAGTTTGGGTTAAAGAATTGAGCTCACAGGAGGATAACTAAGATTTTATGCTCAGCTTCCTATTCTTCATTTGACCCTTTACTGTGCATTTGATCCTGCTTTGTAAAATGAGGTTAAAACTTTATTCTTTTAAAGGCTTTGATTTATGTAATGTTTGCATAGAGTTAAAAAAAACCTCAGAAAACAGTACAGAAATCTTGTCTGACATTCTTGAAGCTTGAGCCAAGGTTTTTCTTGGACATCCTTAAGGCAAACTCAAGAAATATACTTTGTTTCTGTAGTGAACCTATACCTGAAATCTCTAAGGAAACCTTAAAATGTTCTTATGAAAACCCAGATTTATTAATAGAAACTAAAGTGGCAGGTTCAGCACCCCCTCCTCCCCAATACACAGTAACTAGCTAATGAAGTGCAAAGTACCTTATTGCTGCAAAAGACAAATTTTTACAGGGCTGGACCTCCTCTGTGGCACGTTTGCTGGTGTATTGGACCTTCTTGGTTAGGTAAGCGTGTGCACTACTTGCCCATAAGTTTCTCATGTCTAACATTTTTATCTCAAATTAAGTAGCCTGTTTATAAGTTTATGGCTCTTTCTGATGAGGGCAATGTCTAATGTATACTTCCACAAGTTGCTGAAGGGCCTGGAGCACAAGTGTGATGAGGAATGGCTGAGGAACCTGGGGTGGTTTAGTCTGGAGAAGGCTCAGGGGGGATCTTACAACTCTACAACTGCCTGAAAGGAGGATGGAGCCAGGAGGTAGCTGCTGTCTTCTCCCAAGTAATATGTGACAGGGCTCTAGCTGTGCCAGGGGAGGTTTAGACTGGGTAGTAGGAAAAACTCCTTCCCCAGAAAGGTAGCAGGCATTGGAACAGGCTGCCCAGAAAAGTGGTGGAATCACCATCCCTGGAAGTGCTCAAAAATAGCGTAGACGAGGCCCTCAGTGCCATGGGTTAGTGGTGGCCTTGGCAGTGCTGGGGAGTGGTTGGACTTGATGATCTTAAAGGTCTTATTCCACCTAGCTGATTCTATGAAAACCTCCAAGAATATATGGCTTGCTTTGGACAAAGAAGTTTGACTCTTACAGAGCTGTACAGTTTACAAAGATTGCACAGCAGCTATCCCTCAAATCAAATTTGTGTATTATTTTGGTCCTCCAAAGACCATCCAGCCTCCCTCCTCGCCTAGCAGTCAAAAGCTGAATGGTCCCAACTTCACAGATCAGCCTGCTTTGGCACCCGCTAGAACAAATGAGTGCTCCGGTTCCTGTTACACATTCTAGCTTCGAAATATTTAAGTACGGCTGCAATTAACTTACCGAAACAAGTGTGAAGACTTTGTTGATGTTGCTACCTCAGTGCCTTTTCTGCAAACATCTATTGTTTCCCCTGATGAAAGGAGAAGGCGGATGTCTTGCACAGCGTGGGACATCACGCAGAGCGTGCTTTTCGGTGCTGAGCTAGGGCTTCTTTCCCTGAACTCTTCAAAGCCCAGATGATGAGAGCTTTCTCTTCCTGTACCGTAAACTTCAGCTCACATTTAGTAAAAGATAAACTAAATTAGATAAACTGTTCATTCTGTGTAATGGGAGAAAACGGTGTTTACCCAGCAGAAGCGGGCTAGGGCTCGGAGTGCGAACGCCACTTCCAGGGGGAAAGGGCTGAGTTACCTAATTTCACCCAAGTGCTTTGAGTTTGTGTTGGAAATAATTATCATTTTCTTAAAGCCTGTTCCTGATTCTCTTGTAATTGGTGCTCCCGGCGGGATTCCCCGCCGCACAGCCGCGCACACCGGCCATGCTACTGCGCCGCGCTCTCCATGCATTTAGCCGAGCACCGCACAACGCACCACAAGCGGCCGCGACAACAAACTCACCGTCCCGGCTGCGCTCCCCTCGGTCTCGGCAGCGTCCCCGGCACCGCTCCGCTCACCAGCAGCGTGCGGCAGCCCTGAGCCCTTCCTGGGAGCCCTTCCTGGGAGTCCTTTGCCCCGAGAGAACCGCAGTCCAGGCCGCGCCGCCGGGAACTCACCTCTCCCCTCCCAGCCGCAGCCC